TAGTAATAGTAGTAATAGTAATAGTAATAGTAATAGTAATAGTAATAGTAATAGTAATAGTAATAGTAATAGTAATAGTAATAGTAATAGTAATAGTAATAGTAATAGTAATAGTAATCAAAGTTTAATGTCTTTACGTGGGGCATGGTTACCCATATTGCCCGAGCCAGAGGCTCATGTATGAAACGCAAGACAACAACCCACCCATCCCACCCCAGGGGAGGACATCCATCACACAGTAATCTCGTGCGTGGGAAATTAACGTCTCCTACCCCTAACCCTGCAGGAAACGGGACCTCCATTTATTCGTCCCTATCCGAGAAGACTACAATATCTAAACCATTTCTTGATGTTATAGAAAGGCAGCATATTCTTCTCAATTATTTTAAGACCTTGAGTGTAATCAGGCATTCTCGTGGTCTATACTGACCTGCACATTCACAATTAATACATCCATACTTATTTCTAGCGAGACCATTGGGGCAGCCTTTTGGAAGGTTACAACTTGGCATCGGGCACATATCTGAAAATATAAAATGGAAATGAAACTACAAGAAAACTGGTACAGTGAGAAAATGAAGTGAACCACCCTGGAGTTTTAACTTATTTTAGGCGTGAAACTTACGGTTAAGGGTCACACTAGGTCCATCCCAAAAAACGCCATCCTCCTTAACCACACTGGCGCTGGGAACGACAATAAGAACATAACATTAATTACCGCAATAGTTTTATTAAGAATATTACTATGCAACTTTGCAACAAGGTTTCCCTCGCCCATTAATACCTCTTATTTGAGGGAGACAAAGTGATAAAAGTGTCGCGTGCAAGATTGGGGCGTACAAAGGTCTTCTTTTTTTTTTTTAGTACGCACAATTTCCATCCCCTTCGCCTTACACCTCAGTGTATGCTGTGAAGACGGTCTAATTGTCTTTTGATTTTCTCTGTTTGATTGTGGGTAGCTACACCTTAACAGCAACACATCAACGAAATCGACGGTGAAAACGTTGTCCGGCGCACAAAGTCACCCACAGACGCGAGTGTTTTCCTCGAATACTCTGGCCACGACGAAATAGGATATACAGTAGCCAGGTTTTTTATTCTGATAAGGAGCTCCAAAGTTTGATGATATAGTTAGGTTCAATAACCGCATCATGATCTCGCAGAACAGGCAAACATTGTATATACCTAAAAGTAATTTTTCCAGATATGCTTTTCTCAGGCGATTTCCATTTGATCTGAATGCTATTCCACTGCATGCTGTTTGTTGAGTTTTCAAGTACCTCGATCTAAAAAGGAAAATAAACAAATAGATCTCAGCATGGTCATGAGTTAGCATCACATCGGGAAATGCTTCTCCCAGAGGAAAAAACATGGAAACTCCAAAAATTCGTAACTTCACCCATTCTAGGATTCCTGGCAACTTTTCAAAGGAAAGGTATGCTATTTAAACAATAGAGTGTTTCTGTCGAGGAACTATCGGCTGATGGTTGCCCCGCGGAAATTTGATGTTCTTAAAACAAATATTTGCCCGAGAAGCAAAGCTTTGAGGGCAAATAAGCTAGTTTTAAGAACATCAAATTTCCAAGGGGCAACTATCAGACCGATACTTCCGAGACATAAGCACTCTATTGTCTTTATTGTTCACCACTAAATTTTCTTCCGTGCGCCAGTTGAAAAACAGTTAAAACACACCAAAATGCAGATCAATCAAATGTTTATTCATGCGTACTGCCTGTCACAAATGTCAATAACTCGCAACCGGACATTGGCTAAATAATACGAGAAAATTTTTCATGGTCGGGCACTATCCATCCGGGTAATTTCCACAGACGGGCAGTATCCATCCGGGCATTTTCCGCGGATGGGCACTATGGGCTGATAATATCTCTCCACGGATGAACACTATCGCGTCGCGTGATCGATTTAAACCAATAAGAATCGGAGAAAATTCAGTGGTGAACTATAAGACGTGATAGTTATGCTAATTTTAACATATGATGACATCCCACCTGGGTTTGTGAAAGTGAAGATGATATGGTAAGTCACCCGATCAATTCTAGCTATTAAAGTACATTTCCAAATCTAGAAATCAATTCCAGAAAATTTAGAAAGAAGCCTTGGAAAAGTGACAGGAGTGCACCATTGCTGTATACCCACTAACATGTTAGCATTCACTCGATCGCATTCACTCAATCGAACAGCGTAAGGTAACAAACAAAAAAAATACAAATGATCTTATACAAAAAGGGGGACCAAAGTCTCCCTCTCTCTCTCTCTTTCTACATCAACTCATGAACTGTGCGTGTACCTATAAATCACTTTCACGTATACTCCAGTTCGAATTTCTCCAGAGTTTGCCAACTGTCCTAGCTGTTTGAGTGAGCCTTACTTACATATTGTGCTGTGCCTTTGAAGTGACAAGCCCTCTTGGACACTCCGGCAGGTAGCGGGGGCAAGAAATCTCCACTGTCTTCGTCATCGAACTCATTGTAGGCATAAAGCATAAAGCCCGTGAAATTCTGTGTAATATCACCGGAGCGAGTTCCATTCAACGATACTAGAGAGAAACAGGAAGTAAACGTCAAATTAGCAAATATCCTACAATCTTAAGCAATCACTAGGGCGTAGTAAGCATTTTTCAAACAGCGGCAGGGGGGTAGGGGGTCATACTCATAATCGTCATTATCATCAGTCTTTATTTATACACGAAATCGTATCACTTTACATGGTCTTCCTAGGAATCGTGTTCAAACTAAACTAAAATACTCTAAGGAACTATTGACTATAATATTAAAAATACAAAACTTACATCGTGAATAACAAGGAACTATCAGCTTTATAATGTTAAAAATACAAATACTTACATTGTTGGTAATAAAAGTTACAATGATGTATCAGAAATATCTTTCCCATAAAATGAAGTTTTAAAAATATTTAAGCTAGGCAGTTTTCTAATCTCTGAGAGAATCCTGTTCCACAGAAGAGATCCTTTGTAGTGTTGGCTCCCTTTTGCAGACTCAGTTCTTGGTCTGGGGACATAAATATTTAACTCAGAATTTCTAAGATTGTTTGAATGTACATTTGAGGTGTTGGTAAAGATCCACCTCAGATACGATGGGGAAAGATTATTATGGATTTTATACATTGTCACAGCCAACTGCTTAAGTCTTACATATTCCAGCCTTTTCCAGCCAAGTTCATCCCACAAAACACTTGAGCGAACATCATAATTAGAAAAGGTGAGAATCCCAGCAGCCCTATTCTGCAGCTTTTGAAGTTTTTTTGCTAGTCCCTTATTGATATTACCCCATACGGTACCACAGCAATTTAAATATGGCATTACCAGTGCATTGTACATATTCATTCTAGTATCAAGTGGTACAAAATGACTTGCACGCCTTAAAATAGCAATGCCAGCGGATATTTTCTTTGAAATGGTATGAATGTGTGGGCACCAGTTCAAAGTTTTAACAATTTGAACTCCAAGGATTTATGTTTAATTACTCTTTCTAAGGGTGTATTATTGACTTTGACTGTGAAGTCACTATTTACTTGGGATAACATAAATTGGCTCCCTATAAGCATGCATTTAGTCTTCTT